AATATCACATTCAAGATTTTTATATCTAACCAATTTGTGTCAATATTAAAGTTTAAATCAAATTTGGCAAATCCAACCAAAAGTTTGATAGAGACCCTTAAATTATYTGTTACCTGTTCAACAGATCAATCAGACCCTTAAATAAACAAAAAGTTCGATAGAGACCCCTAAATGATGATTTTAAAAGTTGATTCCCCAAAATAGGAATCAGATGAAAGTTGGTTCCATTTTGGTGTAATTTTCCCATTTTTCTATAATTATTTTGCAAGTTGGTTTCTTAAAATAGGAATTAGGTGCAAGTTGGTTCCCCAAAATGACGATTTTGAAAGTTGGTTCTYYAAAATAGGAATCAGGTGCAAGTTGGTTCCCCAAAATGACGATTTTGAAAGTTGGTTCCCCAAAATAGGAATCAGGTGAAAGTTGGTTCCCCAAAATGACGATTTTGAAAGTTGGTTTCCCAAAATAGGAATCAGGTGAAAGTTGGTTCCCCAAAATGACGATTTTGAAAGTTTGTTCTCCAAAATAAGAATCATGTGAAAGTTGGTTCTATTTTGATGCAATTTTCTCTTTATTATTTTATATTCATAACAAGCAATAAGTAGGAGGGTTAAAATGAAAGATACGTGAGTGGGAGCGGAGTTGCAATGTGATACGACACTCCGCGCATTCATGCTTATGTAAGCTCTCACGTGTCAAAAACCCCCCTTTACTTTGTATTTTGTGTTGCTATTTGCATCCATTTGATTTATGTGGGGATTTTATCAAACAAATGTTCAAATTCCATTTATGGAAATATTTATGTATAATCGTGTAAAATATTACGGTGTTGGATTTAACAGTGCATACGATGGCACGGGCTATTATTTGTTCTTTCATCGTAGACTTGAAATATAAAAGAAGAATGAGTATAGTTAAAGATGATATCATATTATTTGTTTGGTGTAGCTGTATATTCTTTGAAACTACAAAAATAATACAAGTTTGTGTAAATTACAAATTTCGTTCTTACGGTTATTGAAAATTTTGGATTAGGTCTGCAAAACAAACTAATTATACGTATGGTTGTCATGGTAATATCGTCATTTTATATTTTTCCTTAAAAACATAAAAGTTAATGTATAATATATATCATCTTCTCAACATCATTGTGTCATCTGCTACTTCCAATCAATCTTGTATAAACACTTGTTTTACGTATGTTTATTTCATAATGTAATAGTTTCACATGCATTTGTTTCATATTGTAAAAAAAATTCACGTATTTTTCGTTTCACCAAGTGAACCAAAAAAAGTTTCACACGGATATTTTTTTACCCATACGGAAACAAACATATGTAAAAGAATAACTAAAAAAAATAGTCTGATGAAAAAGACATCTAAAAAATATTTTTATATTTGTTCTCATGGATTTGTAACCTTTTTGTGGTTCTCAGTTAAGAACTTTAAAATTTATGAGATCCATCATAAGCCATTGATTTAGCATAATTAATATTATTCTTTAATTAATAAGAAAGAGTAACTTTGTAATTTTTTAATTTGAATGACATCTCATAAATTATTTTTCTTTCTCTCCATAAATTAAATCTATTTCCATAAATTAAAAAAACTTTAATTATAATCTATCTCCTCTCCTTATAAATCAATTAATTTTTATGAAGTATTTTGTATGTTTTATGATATTCTAGTTTGTTAATAGATGCAAATATCCATCCTATTTGCTACATACATATGCATTGCTTTTTTGCTAAAAGACTGGTATCTCGTTGTCGTTTTTTTTTGTTAAGAATGATTTTAGGTGTTCATAATATGTTCACAAGATTTACTTTGTGTTGAGATCCAAGCGCTTACCATTACGTCAAAAACAATTGCTGGTAGAGAATGATCAACTAGCTGTCAGCGCCATGTTTCGATTTAGGAAGATGTTGGTCAATGACCCAACAATACTCCCCCCCCAACATCTGCCAGCACTAACAAGATGTTGGCTAGATGGGGTATGTTGTCCTTATTAAGCCAAAATGTGCCAATTCTGCAAACACCCGCTTCTTCATAATAAACACACACCTCCTCCTTCATCGTTTCCTTCAAACCCTAAAAACATGCCTCCTTCCCCAGTCGATGTTCCTTGTCTTAGGTTGCACCTCCTCCGTCGCTGATGTTCGTCTCTTACGACCTGCACCTCCCCTATCGTTGCTCCTCATCTCTGGAGACCTCCACCTCCTCCTTTGTTGCACCTCTACCTTCTAGACATGTCAGATGAAGTATTTTTCAAGCTCAGTTCGAAAGTCAAATGCGCGCTCAACAAGAGCTTTTTCTGATAAACATTAGAAGATTACAATTTTGAAATGAGTTCGTTATTTGAAAAAGACTTAGGATGCCGTTCATATTGCATTTGACAGTGAAATCGCTCTTCGAAAACCTTTCTCCGACGATGATTAGGAGGGCTTTGGTAGAGGAACACACTGTTGGATTTCTTGGCTACAATCTCCAACCTTATTATGACCCTAGAATTTTTTTTTCATCTTGCTCTCATGGTTGTCAAGTTTCCCATCAAATCAGCTGAAGTAATAGTTTGATTTTGGTTTTTAGAATAGTAGCCTTCCTGGTTTGAAGAAGAATAGCCTTTTTGTTTTGATTTGATTCAATTAGTATAAACAATAGTTTTTTTTTATGTTTAAGTAGTTATTATGTTTCGATGTTCAAATAATCTGATGAATGATATCTTTTTGGTTTGATGAACAAAAATCGGTTCAAACATGTTCAAAAATTGATTGAGGG